TTTGATAAACATAGGCCCCGCCCCCCCACCCCAGAAAGCCTAAATACTGCTCTATCAAAGAATTCATTAAAATGCTTTTTTTTTTAACATTCATATTTCAGCTTTTACATTTTAAGCAGCCCCAGTGGGTCCTCAAGGATCACTAATGATCAGAGACAGGCAATCCATTAGCCTGTTTCTCTAAGATGACTCCTCTCACCAGCGATGTTCCTGTGAGGCCTTCCAGAAGGTCCAACAGTTTCCTTCCATCTTTGAGGTCTGTGAACATATCACTGATGGGTGGTTTTCCACTCTGTATAAGAAACAGTAAAATAACAGTTAATTCAACAGCAAAAATTCCACACATGCCTGGCAGACAAAAGGACGGTTTATTTTTTCTGATTAAAAATTCTAGACGATCAGCTGACTCTTCAAGTTTGCCTTGTATAAAAAGAACAAATATAAATACACAGAACTTTTGAAATCTCATTACAAATGTAAGCTGACGAATTTAAATTGCATTATTTCTTAGAAAGGGGGCAAATAAAGCTGGGGTTGATGTCAATACGCCTTGATGAAGGTATATCGTCCTGAGAAGGAATCATAAAAAGATGCAGTGAAACTATAAATGAGTATACAAACACCCGGGGCAGAGGCCAACGAAAAGTGTACAGGTCCTTATTCCATCACTGCCCTTACACTCATGGTGTGAGAATGCATTTCTGTATTTCCATTGTGCGAGCATGAATTTCAGCTCTCGGGTGCTAGGTCCATACCCCTAGCTCTTAATTTCTTTTCTTTCTTTTTTTTTTTAAATTTTATTATTGTTTAAAATATTACAGATGTCCCTTTTTCTCCCCAATGACCCATTCCACCCCGTTCCTTCCCCCTCCCCCATCCCTCTCCCCACCATTGTCCACGTCCTTGGGTTGTGTATATATGCACATAAATTCTTTGGTTACTCTCTCCCCCTAGCTCTTAATTTCTAAATGATTAAAACGCTTTGGGCTCTGGGTCAAAGTCCAGTATCAGTTCAGTGTTTTGAATAACAAAGCTTATAGAATTCTTAAACTCTCACACTCTTCTCCCTGACTGAAATGGCATCAGCGTCCCTGGTAAACATACTCTGGGGTCTGAACCCAGAAGGCCCACCCCACCCCAGGCACATCCTGCCCCGTCTGTGTGATCTGATGGGGGGGGTCCAACAGGACGATTACCACACACAAAATCAGGAAGCTCCGTTTTAATCCGTTTGACCATTACTTTGCCGGTGAACCTAAGTCAGCTATTTAACCCCTTTCTAAACCACAGGTTACAGTAAAGATCGAATAATGTATAATACTACGGGAAAATGTCCAGAAAACTAGAAAGCCCACTGTCATAAATACTGTATCATTCTGTTGTGTCCCATTTCTCCCTCCTAATAGGAAATCTCCACAGTGATGAACGGTCCTAGCTCCTTTCAACAATAAAGATATTTTTTGACCAATAATTATTTTACATTCTGCCCTTTTCGCTTTAAAAAACATACACACAAAGTCGTATGAAACAAACTGCTACCCGGAGCTGGCACTGGAGGAGGGGGGAGCCATCCTGAGGTTTCCTGAAGTTTCACATTTACGCCTTTTTTTCTATTCTCCTGACTCATTATGGTTGTGGGTGTAACGTGTAGTCAACTAACGATTTCTAACATTGGCCTTTCCACAGTCCAAACACTCTACGTGAGGGGAAGTATGGCAAAGTGTTCAGCACAGAATTAGTAAAGAATAAACTGACTCATTTGTAGGCTAAACAAAACTGCTCTTCTCTTCCCAGCTGCCGTTTTCTTGAGCAGCGATGGTGTCAGGGACACACAGACTATCTCCACCGATCCCGGTAACAAACAGACTTGCAGGACGCGGGAGACGCGGTCCAGAGGCAGAAGTACTTCAGGAGGCAGGGCAAGGGGACTTCGCTGCACATTAAACCTACTACGTGCCCTCAGGGAAGCAAAGGCAGAAACGGCCCTGGTCACCTGCTGCCGCCCCTTCGCGTCCCCCTTTCTCCACCCACCAAAGTCCTCTTCAGCAACCTACCACCAAATAACCAGGTTCCCCTTCAGGGAGAGCTGAACCGCCCTTGGAGCAAAGAGACAAGAATAGAGGTCAAGTTCATGGGAGAAACAAACAGGGCAACCTAAGCACAGAAAGGATCTTAGGAAATAATGACGACAAGGGCAGTCAAATAACCAAGCGGCACTTAAAACTTTTCAAATTCTCTATCCATTTAGAAATAAGATAATATAAACCAGCATAATATAAAATAAAGTACATGTAAGTATCTGTCCATATTACAACTAACTATGAATGTCTGTCGATGACCTCACGGTAGGCAAGGAAAGTTTCTTACCCACCATATAACTCTGGGCAAGTTACTTGACCTTTCTGTGGCTATTTGCTCATCTATTAAAAACTAAGATGACAGCCCTGCCCAGGGTGGCTCAGTTGGTTGGTGCATCATTCTGTGCACCAAAAGGTTGCCAGTTTGATTCCCATCAAGGCACATACCTAGGTTGTGGGTTTGATCCCCTGTGGTGGTGCATACAGGAGGCAACTGATCGATGTTTCTCTCATACATTGAGCTTTTTTTCTCTCTCTCTCTCTCCCTCTCTCTCCCCCCCTCCTTCTCCTCTCTCTACAATCAGTAAAACATAGCCCGGCCGGGCGTGGCTCAGCAGTTGAGCATCAACCTAGGATCCAGGAGATCACGGTTCGATTCCTGGTCAGGGCACGTGCCCGGGTTGCGGGCTTGATCCCCAGTGTGGGGTGTGTAGGAGGCAGCCGATCAATGACTCTCATCATTGATGTTTCTATCTTTCTCTCTCCCTCTCCCTTGCCTCTCTGAAACCAATAAAGAATTGTTTAAAAACTAAAAATAAAATCAGTAAAACATATCCTCAGGAGAGGATTTTAAAAAAACACACATTAAGATGACAGATGTTCAGTATATCATTTATATTATCATTCATCTCACAAACTTTTAACTCTAATATTTCTACTGTCATAAAGGTGCCATAAAATTTCAACAATGTCTCAAAAGATAAAACAAATAAGCATTTCTTCATCCCAGGAAAGAATGCAAAAGTGGGCTCTGAACCTGAGTACATGGTAGTGTCAATTCATAGAGAAATATCTTCAAGGTCTTGAATTCACTAACTGACGACAGGAAGGGACACATCCATTCAAAACTAATGAACATGCTAATAGAAGAGCACGCCTGTGCTTTAGGTATGCACCATGAGACGGCGTGACTCAGCCCACTGGGCTCTTCCCTGAGCTCCACTGCTGCTCAGTGGTGAAGTGGGAGGCATTAATTAAGAGGTAGCATTAATTTTCCTGGATGAGACACTCTTTTCATCTTTCTCTTATCTAACTCGTTCACTCATTTACTGAACAACAAATTTTGAGAAAGTTTCCCTGGGGAGCATTCTGTTGAAACAAAGATGACTGAGTCAGTCCTGTCTTCCTAGAAGTCACTCAGACAAGGGCAACCAATTCCTTTATTTTCTTTAAAACCAAAAACCCTACATTAACAACTCCTTCTTTATTCTGTTTCAAAATTTCTGACAAATATTGATGACAATCAATAAGACATATGTTTTGTACTGTGTCCCCTCCTCCTAGCACTTTCCCACCCCACCCCCAGGGATGGTGCTATCAGTGTGTACTCCCATCTGGCACCCTCAGACAGACCACTTGGCTGACCTCCAGGACAGCCAAAGAGGGGAAAACACAGCCTGTGAATCTCCTCCCTGACACAATGAAGGATGGTAACCTGCATCCATACAAATCCAAAACTATAGTTCAAAATTACACAAAAACACAGCCACGCTGACCACACATATGGCCAGCCAATACACAATACTACATATCCCCAACAAATACAATTTAGGATGTCCCAGATGCGGAGGGAAAGAACCAGCTTGTGCCTAACAGCAAGTTCTACCTACAACCCGGAGAGTAACACCTGCAGGTGTGGTGATTCAGTGCTTTGTGCCCTACGGCAGGGGTCAGAACATTTCCAGTGTGTGGTCCAGAGAGTACCCAAATGAGGTGCTGCTGACCAGGTGGTTGGTCTCTACTGAAACCAGTCTACCCTGCTGTAATGTGAAAGCAGCGAGAAATGGTACATAAGCAAATGAGCCAGTCAGAATGACGACTGTATTCCAATAAAACTTTATTTGCTGACTCTGAAATATGAATTTCATATAATGTCCATGTGTCACAAAATAATTATTCTTCATTTGCTGTTTTGAAACCACCTAAAAATATGAAAACCATTCTTAGCTCGTGGACCATACCAAAATGGAGAGTGGAAACATTCAATGTTCTTCAACACAGCAACAGCCACCACCTAGACGTGTTCTAAGAGATTTAGATGTGCCATTTACCTGTATTATTTGTTTCTTCATAATAGTACTTTAAGGTAAGGAAACAGACATAGAGGGGACATGACAACTGAGGGTCAGAACTGGGCTCTGATAACACAAAATTCGGTTCCAAATGCAGGTTCTCAAAGTCTGTGCTAAACTGCAACTAAAATTATGAGGTCACAGGACTGCAACATACAGGGAAGGAAATAGTTAATTGGTTGGGGAGGAGGGGGTAGAGAGCAGAGGGAGCTATATTCAATGACTTCCTGAAGAGGGCAACAAGACATGTATATCACATTTATATTTTTTATCTTTACTGTTGAGAGTATTACAAATGTCCCCCCATTTCCCCCTTGCCCCCACTGCCCAGTTCCCACCGCGCCCCAGGCGTGTCCATGGGCAATGCATATATGCACATAAGCCCTTTGGTTAATCTCTTCCCCGGCCCTTCCCTTTCCCTCTGAGACTGTCGGTCTGTAGGTATCACATTTAAATGAACTCAAGCTCACAGCTTTAAAGCACAGTGGTGCTTTCCCATCACAGGCTCTAACATGGGACCCGCCCTGAGAAAGTTTGGGAATGTCAGAAGTCATCGCTTAATAAAAATAAAAACATTCTTCTGGACAGTTAACCTCTTATTTAGATTTTTAATTGTTCACAAAGACGTATTTACAGAGGCTTCTCTGACAGAAAGAATACAGTTTAATAATTCAATCAGACAAATACTTGGCAAAAACCTCCTTTGTGCCTGGCCCTGAAGAAATGTCAAGTTCAGGTCACCCTCCCCAATCATGAGAGGGGTTTCCATAGTTTTCCAATAAACACAAAGTAATACAAATGAATAATCTTGAACTTGAAGAGCAGATAAGCCTTGGGTCACATTTAACCTTAAAACAAAATTT